TCAAGCTGGGTTTAGAAGTCATGCCACCATGGATATTATAGCTGTCAGATGGATCTTGACTGGAAAGCAAACACTATCAAAAGAATTTCTATTTGTATTTTATTAACTATGTAAAGACATTTGACTGTGTGGATTATAACATACTGTGGCTAACACTGAAAGAAATGGGAATTTCAGACCACTTAATGAAGCTAACTTGAGTCTATACCTAGACAAAGAGGTTATTGTTCAAACAGAGCAAAGGAACACTGAAGGGTTTAAAATAGGAAAAGGCATGCTTCAGGGCTCTATCTTCTCTCCATACTTATTCAATCTGTATCCTAAGCAAACCAACACAGAAGCTGAACGTTATAAAGAATTGTGTGGCATCAGGATTGGAGGAAGGTTCATTAACAACCTATATAATAATGATACCACTTTGCTTGCTGCAAGTGAGGAGAACCTCAAGTGCCCACTGCAGAGGATCAAGGACTGTAGCCTTCAGTATGGATTGCATTTCAACATCAAGAAAAAAAAATTCCTCATCACTTGGCCAATAGGCAACATCATGAGAAATGGAGAAAAGATTAAAAAATATTGAAACTGGCATAAAATAAGAAGACACTCAATAAGACAGAGTAACACAATGACTTCAACAGGCTCACACACAGCAGCAGATGTGTGGATGGTGCAGGAGAAGGCAATGTGTTTGATTCTATGGTGCAAAGGGTAGCTATGAATTAGAACTGACTCTACTGCTCCAAACAACAATTAACTGGAGATTTAACTGATGTATCTTTTCATAAATGATGTTGGTACCAAGTAGTTGGGATATGTTTTAAAAAATTACATTGGTAAGATCGGTAAATGTGAGAAATGGATCCAATTAGTTGTCCTTGTAATCATTTAAACTATCCAATGAAACTTTTTGTTTATTTATTTATTAATTATTATTATTATTTTGTGTGTTTGTACCATCAAAGTGGATCTAACTGGTCCAGGAGGAGATTGTCCCTCCTTCTCTAGGAGAGCATCAGGTGGATTCGAACTGTGTACCTTTGGGATTGAAGTGTAGCTTCTTGCCATTAAGCCACCAGAGCTCCCTAACAATGAAACTTTTTACATTTCAAATTGAAGATCTGTAAGTAGATACGTTGTTGTTGTTGTTGTTATGTGCCGTCCAGTCGTTTGCGACTCATAGCGACCCTAATATAAAAAACCAGAAAACCATACGTATCAGTATTTTTTTTTTTACACCTGGATGTAAGTGGAATTTCAAAGTGTAATTTGAATAAATCTTGCTGTCAAATGTACCCTTCAGGAGACTAGGAATTAGCTGAC